CCTGAGGGCTAGTTTAGCCATTGTCGAGTATTTTACCTATCTTGATGTGATACGTGTTAATCCGACGAATGGCTATGAAATGTACGTGCCCACCTATGTACGCACGTTAATACGCACCCCCGTGGCTTTAACAGGCAAAGACTTTATCTCGCCATCTCATTAACCTCGAGTGCTTCTGCAAAATCGTCATGGCAATCAGTTGGCATCAATTGTGCCCGACACCTCTGACGGCCTTTGGCCCCTTAGGCTACCTGGCTAATTACTTTATTGCGAATACATCATTGGGGATGGAATTGAGATAGGGGCGCAAGCGTCTCCATGAAATATTCTGCCTTGTAACGTGAGCTCCGTTCGTCACGGTCCCGGACAGATTTGAGGTTAGGATTGGTAAGTTGGGTAAATTTTTTATTGTCCTTTTAGGGGTGCATTTTTGACCGTCGAAAATAACCAAATGATACTCGACTGCGATAATTGAATGAGAGTTGTCAAATTGATTTATTTTTATGTTCATGGTCAAGGGATATGACAGGAAACTGTCATGTGTTAATTCATGTAATGCATAATCAAGAAAGCCCCTGTAACCGATCGTATCGTCATTTCTATGGAGGGGTGGTCTGTATCAGGGTTAATATATGGGGTAGCATAATACGTTACGGAAAAACAGTGGGGTTGATGGACAAGATAATAGTTCAAAGCGGGTTGCGCTTATGGTATTTTTCAGGGGGAGGGCTGAGGAGGGCGGATATAGAAAGAGACGGGAAAACGTGCTTCTAAGGGGATTCCCTGCGGTTACGTAATTACGTGTATCTGTTTTTATTTTTTTACTCTTTTTCTTCTTTCTCCATTTTTTTTTTTCCCCAAGAGAAACCATACCTACTCCAAACCAACCCCTCCGTCCCTACATCACGGCACCCGAAGCTTATCTTGATATTTTTACGAGGCTATTTTCCAGCAATCCGCTGCCCCTGTTTCCTTTCTCTTTTCCTCCCTCTTCTTTCTTTTTCATTTCATTTCATTTAAACAGACCCAACGACCAAACTCGCCTAGCCGCTGCAACTGATACAACCACATTTTCATTAAAGCGTCTGATTTATTGACATAGTTAGCCTTGTCGACTTTGTTCCTCCCTTCTATAAGGGTCGCGTCACATACAAACAACCCACGAAGAACGAAAAACATGGTTAACCGTTAAGGGCGGAAAATCGAAAAGACGAGTAATTAGACATTTTTTTGTAAGATCCGCAACACCGGACTAACGACCAAAATTTTTCAGGTACATTGCGCAAGTTACTAATATTTTTGTCAATCGTCCATACTGAACCACGTGACGTAACGAAAATCTCATCCTCGTATGGTCATTATTGTCATTCATACCGGTGAGAGGGTGAAAAGTAAAAAGGGATCGGAAAAACCGATATGACGTAGGTATCTAATGGATACTCTAAGTGGGGCATTCCTCAATCAAGCAAAACGAATGTTGCTTAAAAATAATTTTTTGCTCTGTCTACACTCATTATCGTATGAAGTACTTACGTTATACTCTGATATATTGTACCCGTATAAATCAGTTTCAAGAAAATTTTTCGGAGTACTGAAGTACTGCAGTATATGTATACATATATATAAGGCTACGAGGACCATTGTGATTGACGTAATAATAAACGACATGGCGGACGTGAGGAACCGATAGATAAATTGAACGGATACAGAAAACAGAACAATCTCTGGACCACGATGGTGGACCGGGATACCCGCAACGTTCATTTATAACGGAAGCGTTGAATTGTAGAAGATTGAGGAAAAGGATTGGAGAAAGGTGGCTGGTGCTCGTCTACGAGGAAGACGAATCGACAACACAGAACCTGCTGGTCCAGGGCTGACAACCTCTATAGATCAAAGCCACGTCTTCGCACATGTGCTACTTTCATTCTCTGGACCACTGCCGAATCCATCTACCCATTTCTTGGTTAGATTCAATTTACACATCTGTCCCTCTTATCTAATCGATCAGATCCGTCAGATATAAATGGACTTCACTGTCGTTTTATCGAATGGTATAAAAATATATTTTATTGATCTTTCTTTTTTTTAATCAGAACAAATTTTACTACCCTATTTACATGAACTTCGGCTGATCTTAACCCACGAAGATAGGCTCTTTTAAATAGTAATAATTAACAAGAACGACTCAAGATGATGAAAGGAGAGAACAAGTTAGAGAGAACCAAAACGAGAGAGAGAGAGCGAGAGAGAGAGAGAGAGAGAGAGAGAGAGAGAGAGAGAGGTTCAAGAAGGTAGTCTTGAGGCCGTGTGTTCTCTCCGGGGAGCCAAGTGTTGGGAGAATTAACAGCAACCCCTGATCTTGGCCCTCTATGCTATCTCCCTAATAATAAACTGGTAATTCCCAATGCTCCTATAAGTTACTCCCTTTCAGCACCGCAATGACCTATGAGTGCCAAGATGTATCCCATAACGGGTGTCTACAATTCGATACGATAATCAAGTCACCCTTGAAAGATTTCCAGCTCGTGACATCCCTGAAAAAAAATCACTCGTACTAATCGAAATCCAAAATTTAATAAAGTTCGACTCTTATAAAATTTATATATATTAATCAAAATTAACGATATCTCCAACCCCACTAATATGCTCCTAGCAATTTATACACCTGGAACACCCGTTAGACCCTATAGAAGCAGGTATCCATACATAGGTATATATCTACAGCTTGTAAAGTACCGTGCTTTCGTGACGAGGGGATGCGGAAGGGCATTTGCTTGGAATCAGCAACGGGGCGGGGGGGTGGTCTATGTACGGCAGGAGAAGGGAGGTAAAACCGGAAGGGGATGTAAACTTCCAAGAGCAAGATTCAACCTCTCCGCGGAAACCGGGCTAGATTTATGGGCATAAATTTCTACCTAATAAGAAGTAAACCTCCCAAACTCTCAGGCATCGCGATAACAGTTACTATGCGTACGTAGATGTTTAGATGGAGCAGTTATGTACGTCTTAGCAATATACAATATATATATATACATCTATATATATGCATGCGTTTATTCCTCTAATGTACTCTGTACCCCCCCCCCACCCCATGTACACAAGGGGTGCACACGATCGCCTACATTAAAGCTTGCAGTTTCGAAGCGTCCCGACAGCCGCAAAGCGACACGCGTCCCGACGACGTGGATTTATCGTTATTTCCCACTAATTGCAACTTGGCGTGGCGTCCGATACGCGAGAGCGTTCGCTCCTATAACGCGAATGATGAATCGCGAACGCGCGCCATTACTCCTGGAAAATCTACAGGTTGCAGCGGACACGGAGACCATGTTGACACTGTAGCTTCTCGATTGTCAAAAATCAGCTAATTTATAGGAACGATTTAACATTGACCGTATAGGTATGCTTATATGCCATGTAAACGATAGGAGTAAGATAAGGATATTTAGATTTTTAAAATAAGTTTATAATTTTCATGATTAATTATTATATATGGTATATGTAATGATTCTATACAGGTATTCGGAACTGTGATACATGGGGTGTACTTGTGTATATGGGTCGTTTCAAAGTACGGTACGGCGGAGGGTGGCGTAGCGAAGGATATAGGAAGGAAGGATACTGCTGGAAAACAGTGACCAATAAATTCTCCACAACTGTCTCTTGCTTGTAATTAAACACACAATTTAAGCACGCCATTAATGTCGGCATTCTCGAAGTCTTGTCGGCCTTCCAGCGGGATCCACGATACGAGATGTTGGAAGCGATTCCGAATTTATACGCTTAATAAAAAAGTCTATACATGGCACCATATGGTATTTTCATATGTTGATATGCGACGTTGGTATACTTGGTGTATATTAATAATGATGGGTATGGGATTGGTTTAAGTCTTTTTTTAATTTCCTTCAGGCAAGCCATACCTTTCTCGTGACCTTTTCTGCCGTTCGGTCTGCTTGGCGGCGATTGAAGGTAACGAGTGTAGTAATGAGGGTGGTACTGGTTTGGGAGTGAGCCGCAAAATGCAGTGACGATTTCCATCCACTTAATGATCCTTAACAGTTGCTCTAATTAAGATTTAATTAAAGGTTTCGTATGTATCAAACATCTGCGAGATACATCCTGACGGACAAATCACCTAGGGACCACCCTTGCACCCCCAATCGACTCTCCGCCTCTTGCATATAGACGTTCACTAATGAGAGTCTCGTGTAATTAAGCGCTTATGGATGCGCGGTATCTACGCAACTGACAGAACATTTAGCTTACGTAGGCAATTAATACTTTATGTTGTAATCATTCGGACATGATGACTTAATTATTTACGCGTTGGTTAATAATTGTTTATTATTGATTAGTATGATGATTTTTCAGAACGTAAAGTCACGTAGCTTCCGTGGCGCAATTGGTTAGCGCGTTCGGCTGTTAACCGAAAGGTTGGTGGTTCGAGCCCACCCGGGAGCGACTACTTTTGATAAATTTTGATAAGAATCTTCCCGAGGTTGTAGATAGCTGATAAGGCAGACTTCAATAGCTTTGCACAATCTTGTATAAATCTTCAGACAGTTTCTAAGGTCTTTGATTTTATTTACAATGTATAGTTTTCAATCGAATCTACTCATGATATTATTAATTAATGTTTAATTGTAAGAATTATCATTGTTATAAAATTACACAACTGTTATGAAAAATAAAATCATTGTTTCCAAATAGGCGCCGTGGCTTAGTTGGTTAAAGCGCCTGTCTAGTAAACAGGAGATCGAGGGTTCGAATCCCTCCGGGGCCTTGAGTAAATTCGACTAGACGAATGAACTCAGAGAATTTTTGCTTAAATTTTCAAACAATTTTCTATAACTACTATCAGTTTGATTTTTTAAGAAGAATTGATAACAAATTTTTATAGTAAATGGTTACCAATATTCAATTGATGTGCCAAACCTCGGTCCAAGTTGAGAAGCCAACTTCACTATATTCTAGTACTATATTATTCCACACAGGTGGCCAGCCTGGAATCAGCTGTTACCGACAGCAGTTAACTTCATTGTTGTGCAGTAGCGTGCGTCAAAACGTGAAGATGAGTTCGTGCACAGATCCACTTTGTTTAAACGAGAAGAAATTATTTAAAGTGCTGAGGGAGAGTTTACCCAAGGACCTCAAAGACACCAGAAATATCATTGAAATACGGGATGACGTGCTGTACGCCTGGAATGCAGATAAAGGCGCGATTCTCACGCTGAACGTTGCTGCCACGCGTGGAAAAGCCAGCGAGGATGTGTCTTATCAAGTGAGTATCGATTTTTTATTCTTTGTTGAAATAATATTTATTTACAATTGTTCTTACTGTGCCCGTATCCAATCGACGCTAGTTTTTATTGATGATTCTCATGCTGCATACACAGCATCCTCGCTTCCCTCTACAGAAACATAACCTCACGAATCGAGTGCGCATGTCCGTAACTCCAGAGCACGCGGTTTCTGTCAGTACATTCTGATCCAAAAGTTTATTACAAGTATACAGATTACTTAATATCTTTCGCGTTACTTTATACCGTGCGTCATTACTATAGAATTTTTTAAATCTATGACTTCACAATGTAACTCCTATTCGAGAAAGAGTATTTTACCCAACATTCACAGGTATCACTATGTCTGTCCTCTTCTAACGCACGTAAATACCAATGCATCTGTCTCTCTCTTACTCACGGTAAGTATAGGAAAATAAAAATTCCTAAGAATAATAAATTGTCTGATGAGTCAAGACATTAAACAGTGTACTAATAATGTATACGTATATTTACTTTACTTACTTTTGATTTAAAAAACTCGTGAAGTACTCTCAATTCAAAACTATTGAACAATAGTTATATCTCACTAGTGCGTCTAAGCTCGACAGTCATGTATACATATATGGCAGAACTAGTATATAGAATATGGAGTAAAGAGAGTGACGATTACTGCCGGTAAATGAAAGGGAAGCAGAGGGGCGGAATCGTAGCGAGAATGGGCAGAAACGCTTCGTTCTCGGGCCGTGCTTTTATTTCATTTCAATGGCAGCGCAGGATCAGCAGGCACATTAATGCCTGGCCGCGCGCAAAAGAGCAGTAAGGGGATAATTTATAGGAAATGGGTTGTTCGACGCTCCGGAGTAATTTAATTAAAATAAATGTCCGAGCGACCGAGGAGGTGGAGGACGAGGAGGAGGAGTGCTGCCACTACCCACTGGCCACGGACTGCAGACCACACTGCGAATAAAATGCAAATTCAAAACCCTTCCCCGCGTTACGTAAACGCATACCAACCCCTTTCCATCTCCACACCCCTATATCTACCGAGTCTGCATGTGCACGGAGGGCTGGTAAAATCTCGTAAAGAACCAAGATAAACTCCAAGAGACCCCAGGTTACTCATTCCTAGTGACAGTTCGTCACGTTCACAACTGTACTTGAAGCGGAATACCCATTCCTCGCACTTATTCGAATTGAATGTCCTTCTAGAAATATCAAGGTGCCACGTATGCCACGACACTGAATAATTGCCCAGGATGCAAGCTCAGAAAAATCAGTAAAATATCAGTCATAAATATTAAAAGTTAGCGAGGTTCAACGGTCCTGCTCGCAAAGGGGGGTTGGTGGTTAGGGGTTGGTCGGTCTGCCGGTAGGTAGGATCTCCATGGGAGTGGAATGAAAGGGTGCGGGACGGGGAGGGACTGCAGGACTTTAAACCGGAAGATAGGTGTCGCAGGGTGCCCTGACTACGGGGTAGGGTGTGTGCCAAGGGGGCGCCGCACTATGGTGGCGGTACGAGGTCGGAGACAAAGACGCGCCATTGTCAACCGCTCCGCCATCGGAACCGCCATCCGCCGCGGGAAACTTTGAATCATTTTTATTGCATAGAGTTATCTTTGTTACCAGCGGAACGAACGTCTAAACGTACCCTCAGTCCATCCCCTTCAGCCACCCCGCCTCCTACCACCGTCCCCTTTGGCATCCACCTCGCAGTCAACCCCGCCAACCCCCTGCGCGCTACTTTTATCCACCTTCCAGCCAGCCTTTAACGTTCCTACCTACTACCCATGCCTACCCCTATTCCGGGGAGATAATACTCTCGCGAAAGCATTCACACCCCTTTGACTGCCCAAATGGAATAAGTTCCTTAATTCGCGAATTTATTGGGCCCCGGGGTACGTCTTATCATTTTTAATAGCATTCCTGAAAAGTGTCTAGCCAACGCAGTGACAATCGTTGCTTTTGGGTCAGCTCGACGTCAACGTAACGAGGGTGGCTCTTCTCGCGCACAGCGTGCCTGCCGATGGGAACAATGTACGCCTGACAATACAGAGATGATTTAATAGACGATAATGATCTTCGGCGCGAGCTTCGCTCTGCCGCAGCGAGAGCCAGCAATAAAGAAGGGCGAGCGAGAAGAGGGGAATAAAAAAAAAGAGGCGTGAATGGGCCCAATATCGCATTTTCCATCCATCCATCCATCCCCGTTACTCATAGGGGATGGCTGGGGGGTGGTAAAATTGCGAATGGAAACGGTGCGAAGTGTGACGCGCATATCCATAAAACTGCCAACGCTACGGCGATGCTCAATAACCCGTGCCGCATTGCCAAACCCATATCCTCTACTCCTATATGCTATACGTTCTCTACATTCGTGCCTACATTATATACGCAGCCACCTCCGCGTCATCCCCTCTCCGACACTCTCTCACGCACCCACTTCTAACCGCCCGTGACTGTAGTCGGAAAAAAAATATCACTGGCATTTGCGAAGACGTTGGAAAAATTCTACTATAATCTACGTACCGTCATACTTCAAGTGCGATTATCGATTGTCGATGAGAGATCAATCGATTCGAAATTGATTATCTGACACGCGTATACCAGACTTAGGTATGCACGTGGTAACTGTACGATTAGGAATGGCAAAGTTCATTACTGGTATTCCAAAAGGGTGTCTTATCTAAATTAAAAAATTCCCCGGTTCTTCCGAGGGTCAAAGGTCGCACAGGAAAACGGACTCGAAACGAAATAGAACATTCCAGAAGGTCGCGTCTGACCCGAGACTCGCTGAGATATCGTGTAATAAGCGAAATCCACTGGACGATAATTAAAAAGTAATTTTATGGTGACGTTTCTCAGCGTGGATGGGGCGGCAGGGGGGACAAGGGAAAGCAAGGGTGCCTACTCTCAAAAGGGGCTTGAACCTGGATTTCACGTAAGTGAACATACCTATACGTGACTCCGGTGAGGGTGGTGTGCGTGGAGCCGCTTGAGAGAGTGGAATAAAATTCACGGGAAGTGTTTTACATCGTAGAAGTCCGCCGCTACTACATGTCGGTGGAGCGAAGGTTACCGAGGTAGAGGAGGAGACGGAAAGAAAGGGTTGAAAAAAAAAAGGGGTCGCCAGGTCCTACTAGGTACAGTACCGGAGTACGTGGGGGCGCAGAGGCTGCCGGCGAGGGTCGGCGAATTCCGTAAGTGGCGGACAATGGCTTTTGTGGTAGACATCGGGGCCCTCGCGGCATTCATATTTTCGCACCCTGGCAGTTAGATACATTTTGCCTCAGTCTCGTTTTAGCCGGGCGCGAAGATAAAAAATAAAGCGTACACAAGAACCCCTTGAAATCGTAGAGTCACCCCGTACGTGTCCCTTACCCATTCCGAGCCAACCCTTAACACACTGTAACCAGTCCGAGTGCCACTGTGGGTACGTACCTCGTGCATTGTAACGACTCGCTGTGGATTAGCAAATTTGTTATTCATCCCTCAAGTTTTGAACGAACGTCAAAGATAAGGCTGGTATTTCACTTGTGAAATTGTCGCGTGACGTCAGCGAGGAAGCAAGAGGAATTTTCGTGGTTATCTCTTCGCGGCTCTTCGCGCTGTCCATGGCATCTCCGGATCTACGGCGATGGCTGTTTGGTTAGCAAGGGTGGTTTCTAGGGGATGAAGGGTAGCTATACTTGAAATCGCAGAGATCGCGTAACCGTACCGCTAACGCTCCACTATCATCCGCCTTACGTTTCTCTACCTGAGAACGGCGTCTTTATCTCTCAAGACACAACAATACCGCCCATTGTCAAAGCTGCCCGTTAAAATACGTATACCATCCACACCCTCTATATACTCACCCTCGGAAAGCCGGAGAAGCTAGCAGCGTGCTTTCTCCATTATTACTTGTATAGGCTATAAGCGTCTCAAAGGGTTTTGGACCCACCCCTACCTAAAGATGACAATTTCCAGCTAATAACATTTTCGTTTGGAATTATCTTACTTGCTCTTGTTTACAGTCTTGTAAACTCCAAGGAAACACAAATTCTTTGAGGGACGAAACGACCCTCTGATTTTCATTGGCTACTCGAGATGCAATAAAGATGTTATCCGACACTTGGAACTTATCGAGCATACATATATATATGCATATTTAATACTCTTATTTTTCTTAGATCTTATCCCAACAGCATCCCGATCCGAAGATACGGAGGGACGAAATCGGAAGTCTCATAAATCAGAAGGTCTGCTTCCGGCGGATACGGTACCGCGAAGTGGATGGCTCTCGTTCCACAGGGGGTGGCATTGTCAGACTAGGTTGCCATGGTGGGCTAATGCATTTCCTTTACAGTTTTAATGGGCATTCATAACTAAGTTTAATAACACCGGCAGAGGAGAAGGTGCTGCTGTACAGGAGGTGGTTGCATATCTAATAATTCCACGGTTCCACCTCCAGCAGGAAGTGGCACACGGCGTAGGATGCTACGAGCTTAAAGGTCGTGCACACCGAAAGTTCCCTGTATCAGACTCCTAGGATGAGAACCACCAGATTCATATACGTACGAAGGTAACCTAGAATATTGAATATAATTTTATTACGTAAAATGTCCAAAAAATAATCGCCTACCGGATCACGTGATCGCGCAGTATCAAATAGTATATTCTAATGACGTGACAATACCTTGAGCAGAGTCACTCACGATTCTCTCTGGCTATATATAATAAAGTGGCTAATTAACATTACAACTACCCTCTAGGAATCTCAACGCCAACCACCTCCCCAAAACAGTCCTGGTAACACTGGTCCTAGCGGCACTGGAATGGTAGCGCACAAGGGCAGATTATAGCGTTGGCACTCCTGTAATTTAAGTATGCCACTGAAGACACGGTTTCGCCATGCGACGCCTGGCATTATCATGGTAATTTGTTCGAAACAAACATTATAATTCCATGTGAGCTGGAAGAACGGGGCAGGGGTTGGCCAATGGAGGTGTCGTTTCTCCTCTCGAAGGTTTGCCCTCTTGGTCCTCTTCTTAATCATCTCTATCTCTGACTCTCTCTATCTCGTTCCAGGGAATCCAGCTCCGCTCTTCCTATCCTCGTCCGACGCTCTGTCGAGTGGGGTAGTTTCTAGCTGGAAGGGTTGAGACTTGGTACCCAAGTTAAAGGCGTAAGATCTACCGTGTTTTGGACAGTGTCCATTGTCTTGGAATATTTATTAGAGAAGCCGCCGCCGTCGCAGCGCAGCCGACCAACGCTAAGATGGCGGTTATGGCATAATGGTGGATTTATCGTCGGCAACCAAGACGCCATTATGCACCGGGTAGGAACCCCTACGGGAGACTAAACGCGTCTTAGAGCCCTTCTTAGTGACCCTAAAGTGACGCACGGCGCTTGGGATTGTCTCTCGTGTCTTCTGAGATTCATGGATAGGATCCTCGTCGGAAAAGGATTCGTGTCCGTCCGTGATACTACCCTTGGCATTTACCACGCGCAACCCCCCTGCCCGTATAGTTCGTCGATGACGCAGAGAAAATGTTTGTTCCATTGAATAATCTCTAAGGGTTTTTAACCCTTTGATTCGTTATGAATTATCGATCGATTGAATTTGTCGATTTTGCCCTCTATCCCTTTTACGGATCTGTGGGAGAGCCTCGTCGTGACAGCCATTGGACCAGGTCCGAAAGGAGTCGATGTATCAAGAAACGGAATTCCGATGATGAAATTATTTTGAACTCTTTCAGCCGTTCGGAATGGGTAACTTTGTTTCTGTATTTATATTAGAAATTCAAAATGACAGTTCTGCAGAACTTTCTCGCTACGGGTGTAATGTCTACGTGCTTACGAGACTTTGAAATTTTTCAAGGAAACGCCATAAGCCCTACGTCAGCCATAAAAGTCTGAGGCATTACGATTGCTGGATATCAAAGTGGCTCCGAGGGGATTGATGACGTTTGGTTAAACGGAAGATCAGGCCGAAGAAAGAAAAAGTTCATTTCCAGGCCAGCTCCGGGTGGCGGGATACGAAGAAGGAAAAAACAGACTAAGACGAGGAGGATGAAAAAAGGAAAAAGTGGCTGTCTGTGCCCCCTAGCAGTAAATTCCGAAACGGTTACGGGCCGTGAGATAATGCGCAATCATTTCGGAATGGAAATTAAAATCAGATGATGAATCCTAACGATGCCGTTTATTATTTTAATTTTCCGCGAACCCAGCGCACCGCTCCTGCGGCTGCTAACTCGAGTTCGAGACACTAAATTACGTTCCTATTAGCCCGTATAATTACAAGATGGCCCCAGTAATTTCCGTTTATTCCAACTTCGTCTCTCGAAACGGCCGGGCATTATAGATACAAATAAAAATTCGCGACGGCCATACCCGGCACCGGCATCGCCACCGGAATCGCATAAACCAAGTAGCGAGCAACCCTGTTCTCGAAGCCAGACTCCCTTACCAGAAACCGCCACCCTGCTCGATATCAGGAACAAGACGCGAGGGACGCCTGTGTCCAAGGCTGAGAGAGTTTACGTTCGTTTGAGCTTTACAGGCCGTGAAACGCTTTCCCAGGGGGTTGAGTGTGTATTTCCTGCAAAGAATCGAAGAATCATCCCTTAGAAAGTACCGAGGTAACAACCCCCTGTGAACCAGCGAGCCAAAGAGCCAGTCGGCAGGCGTTTTCCTTTAACGGGCCAATAATCAGGAATTTGAGATTTACACGACGATAAATTCGCAACTTCCCTCTGAATGCAGGGTGGCTTTCTACCGGTGGTACCTATGCCCCCTCCCGCCCCCTGCTACCCCCTCTTCCGTTCTGCGGGTGGTTCTCGTCAGCCCAGCCAGTTTCGCGTATTTATATTTATAGTGACGTAAATGTAAAGCCGTTCTCGCGGCCGGGATCGGCTTTACGCGGCTTATTATAATGTAACTATAACTTTTTATGTCCCTCGTAATGCGGTACAACCGGCATCGTATCTGGCATCGGTTCGAGTCGTATATTTACCGGGAATACTTTGGGTGTGTCAGTGTTGTTTTACTTCTTTTACCTGTTTTTTTGTCAAGCCGTCAATCCATGAAATTTCGCATATAGTAACCGAGGTTCTATATCCTTAGGTTTCTTTAGACAGGATTCGCTTATTTGAAAAATCGATTTCAATAATTAATTAAAATTTGCATCACCCGTATCTATAGAGTTCATATGATTTCTTAAGGAATTTAGAAAAATTTCATGAAATTTTACGTGATTCAATTTTTTTTCAGAGTAAAATAGTAAAACCCGGTGGGTTAGGAAAAATTCTTAGGAAGATCGTAAACATTGTTGTAAGGGTTGCGAATGGCAAGTTGCTAGTGACGTAGAATTTGGGATCTTCGTCTTATCCACCCTTGTATAAAACCCTCTGTATTTTGAGTAGCCGTTTAGTTGGGGTAATTAAAGTCCCGAGTACAAGGCCGAGTGCACGATTTCGAAGAAGAATAGGTCACGTCCGAGTCCTTAAGAAGAAAGGGTTTCCAAGAGTGTAAGAATGGCCAGACCGGGCTATTTTTCTAGTTAATTTGAATTTCGTAATTACCACCGGGTACCAAGTACCCAGTCCAGGGTGGACGTTATATAAAAAGGTCTTCCCCTTAATATTCACGAGAATTCGTTATGCCAGTTTCTGGTGAAAGGATTTCGCGATGGCACGCGACCTTTCTCATAGGACACGAACGATAACGGAGGCTACCCAAGAAAACACAGAAGAAGAAGGGCCCATCCAGAAGTATCCGTTTTCCTGTACTCATTTTCCCATTTTGTTTTCTGTTTTAGGTATAAAGCTCTCGAGAGATCTGAAAAAAGAAATCCCCAGAGAAAAGAGTAGACCTCCTTCGGACCGATCAACCCCCTCCTGCTTCGAGCATCCCCAGAGTCTCTCATCCCCCGAAGTAATCAAGACAATGAATATATTTGCGAGGGAGGTCGTAATTACCGAGTATTTTTCATGCCCCACCCTATCCGAAGCTGATTGATATTTTGTATTCAAGACAAGGCCGCGTCTCTAACCTAGCTGGTGCCGTTACCAAGCTCTCTTTTTTCATCCCAGCCAAGGGGGGTGGTGAGCCGGAAAAGAATTAAGTGATTGAAGTTAACGGAGGAACCACCCTCGTTCCTGTAATCAGACGCCCGATTAAATAATTGAACGAGATACCGTTCTTCGAAATTATTTTTTTTTTCCACCCCCTTCTGCACCATCCACCAGCATCCATTTCCTCCCTTGCAGCTCATGGGGGGATGCGACAGTCAAAACGTCATATAGGCTCCAAGGGATACAGTGGCACATGAGAATCCACGGTATCTTCATGGCGTTAATTAGGAAGGGTAGCTCTTACTTTGAATCAAGTCCCGACTGACGGGGCTGAGTTAGGGCTGGATATCAACCGGAATAAGGGAGGTCGGAATAAGAGTCCTCGGAAGCTCACGGCCCATTTCACTGAAGGTTCATCTTTAATTTCTTCGCGTTTTTTACGCCACTTGACACTCCTTTAAATTCCACCCTAACCCCCATGCCGGTAACGGGCGCGTCCCGGGTGCTACGGCGGGGGGTGGTGTTCAGGAGGATTGTAAGGGTGGCAAGGCACTGTTCGCTCATTTCTCCGGTTGTCTTACGGCGATTAACCAGACTCGTAGCAATCCTACCTCCCTCCTCC